AACTATAATATTTGAGGTCACAAGCCACTGCCTCATGGGCCTGTGCCATGGGCCGGCTCTGATTATCTGATAAGTTTTAAACTTGTTTAATCTTTAAACAAACATACAGCTTCAAAAATCAAGAAAAGTTGGGCAAATTAGAGGTTCCATCTTAGAATCTCATCTTCTTCAAACTTTCTTAAAATTTGTGACTGATTATGAATTTATGAACAAAGTTTGATTTTTTTTTTGAGAATCTCAACTTATATCATAACAAAATAGCTTAGATTATTATCTGATCCACATTTTCAAATAGATCTTAACATTACGCAGACTCCCATATATACGGAAGCCTAGCCGGCTTGCTTTTTACCATTCTGGGACTTTTTCGACTCTTGAGAGCCAGAGAACGCTTTTTGATATATTGACCACCACAAAGCTTACCCTCGAGAGTCAAGTTTCCTGTATGATCCATGACTCTTCTAACTATAGCTTGGCGTTCAACATGCTCACCATTCTCAAAAACCCGCCGAGGGGCTCGAGGCTCTGCCAAGCCCTTAAACGTTATGTAGACATGTACACTTTTGGTCTTGAGTCTCTCATTCGGCGGCTCCACATCTTCATTAGATGTTTCTACCACAACTTTCACAATCTCCAACTTGGAGAGAACTTCTGTCGTCGCCTTACGACACTACAATTTTGGAGTTCATCATTATTATTATTATTATTAGTGCCACTCGTGGTGGTATGTCATTAATTGATATATAGGTAAAACTTACTCCAGAGATCTACCTATCAGTTGTAGTAATTACAAGATCCAAATACATAGAAATCCAATCATTGGCTTGCCACTCTGATTCCTTCACCTGCAAAAGCAATAACTAACATATCAATTGATCATGAGCACAACAAAACTTAATTTAATGCTATGTCATAATATATATAGGGCATCTTACCACATAAAATCGTTTTCCGTCATTCAAAGCATCATCTGAGGGCCAATCAGGCAATTCACCTTTGAAGATACCATCGGCCAGTGCGCCACCATGAAAGTGAGGTCTGAAGGACATCTCGGTGGACACTATGCAACATTCATTATTAATCAGCAAGCAAAGTGAGATTCTCATAAAAATATATAAAGAAAATAATGCAACACAAGGACTTCACCTTCGGCTTTAGGTCTAGCAATGGAGCACCTTATATGCAAAGTGCCATAATCTTGTTCATCAACTCGAACCTGAAAGGTTTTCTGCAATGAGCTAGCAGCTGGATCGGGATCGTGTGCAAGCAGAGTGATGTAGAAAGAGGACATATAGTTCTGTAACATGTTGAATTTCATTAGGGTAGCGAGCTCGAAGCTTGTCCCCTAAGGAAGAAAATCGAATCAATCAATATATATTTGGTATATATAACAGAGCACTTTTATAAACGTATCAACTAGAGGAGACAAAGAGTTTAAATATCTTACCTTGAACAAATTGTAACGATGAAGCCCAACCTTAGCAAAAAGGTTGACCAAGATAGGATACGGATAAAAACTATAACGTTGACAGTCGAAGGATATCAGTCCAATGACCAACTCCATTCATACCTGGTGGTAGTTTAACGTTCTCTATATCGAAACCCTAAGATCCATTACCAAAAACAATCTATCAGTCCATAAACAACCCTACAAGCGATTAATAATTTCCTCGAATTGTTGTCTAGAATCGCTTTTAAGAACTCAGGTTTAGGGTTAATTTTGCGAAACAAAAGGAACAAATCACAATCATAGATAACAGATGATTAAGAAGATGAAAGAATTACATCGGATTCCGCCGCTTGACGCCAATAGTCTCTATGTACATTGTAACCCTCTTCCACCGCCGAAACAGATTCCTCCTCCGTCGTCATATTCTCCTTCTCCTCGTGGTGCATGTTGGATGCTTTTTTTTTTTTGTTATGCCGATACATGTTATATTGAAGTGAATTAACTTTTTTGGGATTCTAACTATTCATTTATGGGCTTCAGTGGGCTTTCTCAACTCAAATCTGATTTATGATTAGAACCATACATAATGAATGAAATATGTTTTTCGTTTTTTTAATAAGACTCACACATCCAAGTCCAACCATTAAACTTCACAACGTAGAGCTTTAAATAGTATCTTACATTTTTAAAAAAACATGTATGGTACAATTAATTGATCAGTTTTATCTATGTTTAAAATTATTCTTTGTAATAGTATATATTTAATATTTAACTTTCATTTTTCTAAAAGTTTCTTTTATTACTATTAATTATATATTATTTTCTCATCTATATAATCTCATAAATTATTATTATTATTATTATTATTATTTTTTTTTTTTTTTTTGACATCATTGGATCGACAAGGCCCGATCCATTAAATTATTTTCAAGTCATCCCTATTTTGTTTTTTTTTTCATTCCATTCTTTATTTCTAGCTTCTTATGCATGTAGTCCTCTAAATATGAAGTTTCTGAAACTGAATTAAGACATGTAACTTAGATTTTAAGTAAAGAGTTAAAATTTGTGTTAATGATACATAAAGAACTCTAGTGTTTTAGTTTCCGTTGTAAATAGCATTGAAGCTTCCACTCTTCAGTGGAAATTATATAGAGGTCTGTTACATATATCGTAAAAAAGGTTCAAAGCCCTACGGTCAATATCGTAGGAAAAATTGGTAGAAAAATGTCTTCTACCAATTCCTTACCAACAAAGTCCTACTAATTTTCTATGATTATTTTTGGTAGAAAACTATTTTCTAACAATTTCCTACAAATTGTTTTCTATTATTTTTTAACTAAATTAATTAAATTGGTTTCAATAATTATATTAATTACAAAACTTATATTCAAAATATGAAATAGTCATTATTTAATAATCCAAATAATATTTATTAAACCAATTATTTGACAAAAGAAAACGTCTAAAATCAATTTGAAAACAAATTCAATCTACTTCTACATTGATGGAGGGCTACTGTGAGTATCCTGTTGAACATATCCATCCTAGAGGATGAGTCCTATGAGCTGAAAACAAATATGATGTTTCGCTGGAGTTATAGAGTGAATCCTCTTGAGCATCTCTACATGATTTAATCGTGTCGTATGAGGTATCTATCTGTTGAAGTATGAACCTTTATTAAATTCTGCACAAGAAGAGAAAGTTGGAATCAATGATCAAGGGCAAGAAGCAAGCAACAGAGACCAGACAATCAATGATCTGAAACAATTGGCAAAAAGAAAAATTGTGGAAAAAAAAAAAGGAAGGACTGATCTAAGAAAGCAAGAAGCAAGACCTAACCTTTGTATGATAAGTTGAAATCACCATGAGGGCAAAAAGACAGAGACTATGCACAAGTTTCTGCAATTAGTTGCATACAAAGGAGAGAATTTGATCAAGGAAATGATCAAAGAGAAACAGAATGACGGCAAATTAAAAGCTCACAAAAGAAAAATATGGCGAGTAGTTAAAATATAATTATGTCAAGAAGAATTTGTGGTTTTCAATTGTTATCTCTCTTTTCTAAAACATTCTCTTGCTTTCACTCTAAATCAAAAGAAACAAAACAGAGAGTAAAGAAGAGAATGAAAACAGAGAACTTGAGAGAAGAGAGGGAACAGACCTGAAGCTTGATGGAGAAGATCAAGGAGTGTCCGACCTGAAACAAAGTGAAGAGACAAGAATTCAACACCATCATGATAAGCGTTTCCATCCCACCTATGCAACAAAGCCAACATTATTATTCGAAAAGAAGGTTAAAACAAATCAAACCCAGGACAGTCAAGAGAAAGATAAATAACCAAAACCACGTAGTAATTGCTTAACACTCAAAAATAAATACAGAGGCTAAAGTTTTCTTACATTCATTAGAATTAAAAAAAAAAAAAGACCACTAAACATGGTAAGAGCTATCAAATCTCCTAATGATATTAGACATCAAATAAAGAGTACCTCTAAGCGGTAAAGGAGACTCTCTACAACGGCATAAAACCAACAAAACTTTAATTTCGTGTACGTAATATAGACAATCAATAGAGTGCCAGTATATCGAAACAGAGATCTTGAGCAAACGTATTCAATTTCTCGAAAATACAGAAGCAAATAAACGAAAGAGACACAAACCTTCAATAGCTCCCATTTCTTTTGCGACTTTCGCTTGCATCTCGGCACAACAGCTATCTCCATCTCTTTCTATCTCCAAAAACATTCAGAAATATACAAACAAAGTACAAAAGCAAATCGAGCAAACGCACATAAGAGACGGAGAAGCAGACCTAAACGGCATCATCATTGGCGGCAAGCATATCTGGATCTAACAACTCAGACCATGAAACCTTCGTCGATCTCTTTCGATTAGTGGGATGAAGATGATTTCGAGGGATTGTTGGAGGAGGAGAAATCAACGGAATCTCCGGCTATTTCTGATAACGCCTCTGTGTTTAAGTTCCATGCGAGTGGACGTAGGTATTGCCATGGGCAGTTGGCAACCATGGAGCTTAAGAGTAGACACTTTGAGAAGGATACCAAACGGGCACATGTTTCTCTCCACCGATTTAGTCCTGCTTTTAAAGGGGTTTGGGAGGAAGTAAATAGAAACAAAGACGTGAGGAAGATGAATGATCACAGAGGAAAAAGACTCTTCCGCTACAAATTATCCCTTTTATTAGTAAGAGATTTTTAATTACAAAAAAAAGTGTGCAATTTTGAGGTTCCATCTCAGAATCTCATCTACTTTGATTATTTTTCTCCAGATTTTGGATATTGGATCATGTCGTAGTTTGCATTTATTACAAGGTTTTTTTTTTTTTTGAAATTAATTTATTACAAGGTTTGCTTGATCGAACCTATAAATCTCCGATAGAAACTGCTTCGTACCGACATAAAGGCATGCAAACATGTGTTGTACATGATTTTACCAAATAGTGAATGTTCATTTGATTTGGTTTGATATGATTTTGAAGACAACTTGTGACTTGAGAGATCATCGTGACGTAATTATTTAGAAGGCGACTTTGGAGATCATCGTGAGAGTTCTCCTCACCTAACTCACTCGAATGCTCTTTTTGGAGAATAATACAAATTATGGGTCATCATTATTTTCCCCTACCAATAATGATTCCATCCCATTTTTGGATACTCTTTAAAAGTCTAAAACCCCACCAAATAAAATGATATATTTGACTTCTCTTTCTAATGGATCTTAACATTACGCAGACGCCCATGTATACGAATGCCTAACCTACGCGAGCTTGCTTTTTACAATCCTAGGACTCTTCTCCACTCTTGAGAGCCAGAGAACGCTTTTTGATATATTGACCACCACAAAGCTTACCCTTGAGAGTCAAGTATCCTGTATGATTCATGACTCTTCTAACTATAGCTTGGCGTTCAACATGCTCACCAATCTCAAAAACCCGCCGAGGGGCTCGAGGCTCTGCCAAGCCCTTAAACGTTATGTAGACATGTGCACTCTGGGCCTTGAGTCTCTCATTCGGCAGCTCCACATCTTCATTAGCAGTTTCTATCGCCACTTTCACTATCTCCAACTGGGACAGAACTTCGGTCTTCTGACGCGTCTACAATTTTGGAGTTCATTATTATTATTATTATTACCAGTAGTGCCAGTGGTATGCCAGTAATTGATATATATGTAAAACTTACTTCAGTGATCGACCTATCAGTTGTAGTAATTACAAGTTCCAAATACATAGAAATCCAATCAGTGGATTGCCACTCTGATTCCTTCACCTGCGAAAGCAATAACAACATATCACTGCTAGCTTAATTGATCAAGAGCTAGCTAGCACCAAAAAAGAAACTTAATTTAGTGTTGTTGCATAATATATATAGGGCATCTTACCAGGTAAAATCGTTTTCCGTCATTGAAAGCATCATCTGAGGGCCAATCAGGCAATTCACCTTTGAAGATACCATATGCCCGTGCGCCACCTTGAAAGTGAGGTATGAAGGGCGTTTCGGTGGACACTATGCAACATTCATTATTAATCAGCAAGCTACGTGAAATTTTATAAAAAAAAAATATAAGGAAAATAATGCACCACAAGCAAGTTACCTTCGGCTTTAAGTCTAGCAATGGAGCACGTTATATGCAAAGTGCCATAATCTTGTTCATCAACTCGAACCTGAAAGGTTTTCTGCAATGAGCTAGCAGCGGGATCGGGATCATGTGCAAGCAGAGTCATGTAGAAAGAGGACATATAGTTCTGTAACATGTTGAATTTCATTAGGGTATCGAGCTTGAAGCTTGTCCCCTGAGGAAGAAAATCGAATCAATCAATATATTTGGTATATATAACAGAGCACTTTTTTATACGTACCAACTAGAGGAGACAAAGAGTTTAAATATTTTACCTTGAACAAATTGTAACGATGAAGCCCAACCTTAGCATAAAGGTTGACCAAGATACGATACGGATAACGCTTATAAAGTTGACAGTCGTAGGGAATCAGTCCAGTGACCACTCCATTCATACCTGGTCGTAGTTTAACGTTCTCTAAATCGAAACCCTAAGACCCACCCATCAGCAAAAATAATCTATCAGCTATTAAGAACTCAGGTTTAGGGTTAATTTTGTGAAACAAAAGGAACAAATCACAATCGTAGAATAAGAAGATGAAAGAATTACATCGGATTCCGCCGCTTGACGCCAAAAGTCTCTCTGTACACTGTAACCCTCCTCCGCCGTCGAAAGAGACTCCTCCTCCGCCGTCGAAAGAGACTCCTCCTCCGTCGTCATATTCTCCTCCTCCTCGTCGTGGTGGTAGATGGTTTTTTTTGTTATGGTGATTGAGGCGATATATCATACTATTGAGTTGGATTAAATTTTTTGGGATTCGATGGATTTATTTATGGGCTTCAGTTGGGCTTTTTCAACCCAAATCTGATTAATGAAATAAGATGGCCTTACACACTCACTTACTTGTCTCTAAAGTTACTTAACCATTAAAGTTGACAATTTGGAGCTCTAACGAACATAGGTGTCTCTCTTGGTGGTTATTATGTCCTATGGTTCACGGGTTCGAATTCTACGTGTCTCTCTTTAGAACTAGTAAACAAAAATTGGTGCAATTTGGAGGTTCCGTCTCAGAATCTCATCTCGAAATTTTGGATATTGGATCATGTTGTAGTTTTTCATTTATTATAAGTTTTGTATGATCAACCAACACATATCCCTTTAATGATTTATGAAATAAGATGGCCTTACACACTCACTTACTTGTCTCTAAAGTTACTTAATCATTAAAGTTGACAATTTGGAGCTCTCACGAACCTAGGTGTCTCTCTTGGTGGTTATTATGTCCTAGGTGTCTCTCTTGGTGGTTATTATGTCCTGTGATTCACGGGTTCGAATCCTAGGTGTCTCTCTTTTGAACAGATTTGTATTTTTTTTTCAAAATACAAAATGTCGTCGTTTGGAATTTAACGAAAACTGTTAACTTTGACTTAACTACGTTAAGTTAGTCCGTCAATTGACCTCACGACTTGGCAAAATCAACAAAAGTCAATAATTTAATAGAAAAGTCAACTAAAGTTGGCAATTTAATTCACCATACTCAAAGTTGAAGCTTTTTCCTTTTATGACATTTTTCCGCTTTAGAACTTGTAAACAAAAAATGATGCAATTTTGAGGTTCCATCTCAGAATCTCATCTACTTCAAACTTACAAACTCAGATAAAATTTCGATTGGATCATGTCGTAGTTTTTCATTTATTATAAGTTTTGTTTGATCAACCAACACATATCTCTTTGCCAAATATAGTTGCCTGATAGAAACTGCTTAGTACCGACATAGAGACAATTGAACATGTGTTGTATATGATTTTACCGTGGATGTTCATTTAGTTTGGTTTGATATGATTTTGAAGACAACTTGTGACTTGAGAGATCATCGTGACGTAATTATTTAGAAGGCTGACTTTGGAGATCATCGTGAGAGTTCTCCTCACCTAACTAACTCACTCGAATGCTCTTTTTGGAGAATAATCTCTACAATAATTATTTGAGAAGTAGAAACGCACCATATTGAAAGTTAGGGCATTGGAGGCCTGTGGTTAAAAGTTGGAATGATTTGTCCTAAACACCCTTAATGAATTGTTCTTCTCGAAATTTCTTCTTCTTCGTAATTAGGGGTATATAAGTCTAATCGTGTGTTGATCTCTATACTAATGTCCTAAACACCCTCGATTTCGAAATTTTTTGATCTTAATTGTTAAGGGTATATAAGTCTAATCGTGTTTTGAGATGATTAGTCTTAATCACCCTTAATGAATACACTATCAAATCCAGTTTTCTATTTTTTGGTGAGGGTAAAACAATAAAATCGTGTGAATTTTATTAAAATATAGAATATTTCGTTTTTTAATATTAAAATATAGAATATTTCGTTTTTTAATATTAAAATATGGAATATTTCGTTTTTTAATTTTTATAAAAAGTTAAGATAGATATTAAAATATCTTACGAATATTTGTATCAAGAAATTTTCCAATTTTAAAAAATAAATTTTTAGAGATAATTATGACAGTGTGCCCTAGATTTTAAGCTATAAATATAGAGCCGCAGCCACACCATTAGAACTCAGATTCGTTAGCCTAAACATATCGTTTTGATATTATAGCTTTTTTTTTTGTTGCTTTGGTTCTTTTATGGATCGATTTTTTTATTTTGCGTTATTATTTTTTACTTTTTCTTGAGGTTATATTTGTATTGTTATTATCTTGGTCTATGAATTATTAAGATTGTTATTGTTTTGCTGATTTGTATCGTGTGAATTATGTTTTAGGTAACCGCTCATGGGAGTTTCTATCAAGAGATTGAATGAACGAGTTGATGAAGACATGCCTCTTCATTAAATTCATTAACAAACTTTTTACATCAATCGTGAGTCCTCTTTAATTTTAGTTAGCGCTTCTCTTATGTCTCTTTGTAAATTACTTACAATTTTATAATTTGTGTTGGTTTAATTATTGATAGTTGTCTCTCATCAGATCTGATGTAAAATAATTTTTTACCATGCACTACATAACGAAATATTTTTTTTTTGTCAACGTTACTCATAGTTTTTGTGTTTTTGAAGGCGGAGCATTGCGCTGATGCGGAAGTGATTTACAAGTTTTTGGAGGTCAATGAGATTGATAAGGTATATTATAATCGACTATGTTTTAGATTTTTTTTGTTTTTTCTTTTTATTTTGTATATTGGTTGTTGATTATTTTCTTTGATTATTTGTGTGATTGAGACCTTTTTTTTTATATAGAATATTTGTTATTCGTAGAAATAATTATGTCGTGTTATTATATGAAAGATTTGATAAATTATTGGAACTATGTTGGTCAAGGTTCTCGAAGAACTCATCTCTACGTTTAAATCGATCTGATATAAACATGTATTTTTGTATATTAATATTTCTTAATTTTATGAGTTTTTTTATTATTAGATGACTACGAGAAGGTAATCTCTAATCTACTATTTTTATTTGTATTTTGTTATGAATTATTTATATGCTTTCTTTTGTTTTTTAGAAACTCTAACATTAATTTGCTTTCTAAAACATATTGAGTCTATTTTGAAGCTCGGGAAAAACAGAGTTCTCTAAAACGATATCTGTCGAGATTGCATAGGTATGTCTATCGTGATGAAATTGTTAAATAGATACTGGGCTTCTAAGAAATTCTATCACTTTGAATCCTTGTAATCGTGAGAGAAAAGTTTAGGGTTTGATTGTTTCAGTTTTGATTAGTGAATTGAAAGATGCCGCAATTTCCACATATGATTTTTACGTTCAATCATAATTTGGATGTGTGGAAATTAATACTTGAATCGATGGAGAGAAGATTACAACTGACGTGTGAGTTAATTTGTGTATTTTATGGTACATGTTTTCGTCATGGATCAAAAAGTTCAATCCCATCTTTATAGGAGTTAGGCTTTCATCTAACCTCTTTTATATTTGATAGATTGTTTGTTGTGTTATTTTTTTAATTTTAGATTCAAATATATATTTTTTAATTTCAGTTTTAGGCGACTAAAGGATTGAATATGCTATGAATATGTAATTTTATATTCTTTTGTTTATTTAATTGCCATTAACCTATTTTGACTTTAATTTATATGTTTTATTATGAGAGATAGGAAAAATAGCTAATCTATTTTGACTTTAATTTATATGTTTTATTATGAGAGATAGGAAAAATAGCTGATCAGTGATTTTTGGTTGTCGGAGACTGATCCGAATGAGCGACGGTGATGAAAATATGAGTGGTGGATAGAGACGCAAGGGATCGGTGAAGTTGTTTAATACACACAAGGGGTTTGGTTTCATCACACCAGACGACGGTGGTGAGTGGTGACGATCTCTTCGTTCACCAGTCCATTAGCTCTGAAAAATTTCGTAGCCTTACCGTTGATGAAGCTGTTGAGTTCAAGGTTGAGGTTGACAACGCCAGTCGTCTGAAGACTGTTGAAGTTTCTGGACCCGAGGGTGCTCCTGTTCAGTGAAATAACGGCGGTTCATCTGGTGGATGTGGTGGTTTTGGCTGTGGAGGTGAGGACGTGATGGTGGAAATTATTAAGGAGGATATGGTGGTGATGGTACTTGCTTTAGGTGTAGTGAACCAAGTTATATGGCGAGAGATTGTTCTCAAGGTGGTGGAGGATACAGTGGTGGTGGAGGTGGTTGAAGGTACGGTATGTTGTAGGTGGAGGTGGTGGTACTTGCTTTAGTGGTTTTATTTGTTTCGTTTAATTTTGTACCAATCTTATCATTTGTATTAAGGATTTTATAACTAGAGACGTAGGTACATATGACAAATGTGAATGTTTTTATTTATGAATTATAAAACATGTTGTGTTATATGTCATTTAGCTTATATAATATTTAAAACGTTTGTGGATATCTAAGAAGTGAAATTATTGGGGCCGGAGTTATTTGACGAACACATCAATTGGATTTAAAAAATCTTTTAACAATATGCTATGTGTCATTATTTCATCTCATAAGTGATATTTCATTAAACTTTAATCTGTTATATAATTTATGAAATTTTTTAGATTAAATCTATTGGATACGATATCTATGATTCTTACACAAAAGATCAAAGTTTACAAAAAAATCTTTAACAAAATCTCTATAAATTTTGACTTCGATTTTATTTTGCGAGAATATAAGGATAAAATTGTACAAATTTGATAAAGACTTTAAAATTTTTAAATAATGATGTGAATATTTTTATCTCGAAATTGTTTAATTAAGAAAGTTAAAATTCGTAAATATTGAAGATAATGTCTTATGAATCAAGGATATAATCCGTCAAGGTACTAATATTTAAATAATTATATTATGATTATAATTTTTCCACCATGTATTTTATAATTTGAAATATATTTTTGTTTTGAATTAAAATTAAAAAATTAAAATCTATAAGGGTAGTTTCAGAAAAGGATGAAAATAAAAAAAGACACAAAGTTCTTTTATTCTTAAATATATTGACATGTGATTTTCATCCCACATACTATTTTTAAATTATGTGTTTATTATATACATATAGACACTTATATGATTAATTAAAGATTTGCTCTCTATAGTAGTATTTAATTAGATATTTTTTAAAATTGTTCATATAACTTTCTCTTTGCTTTTAAATTGTTTCAGTTTTATTAAATTTAGTGATCACTAGAGGAAAATCCGGGCGTTAATAATTGACATTTTTAGATTAATTAACTTAAGTTTAAATTCAATTTTAGTTATATATTAAAAA